GCCTCCCAAAGTGCTGGGATTACAGGCGTGAGCCACTGCGCGTGGCCAGTTGTGCTTTTTTAAATTTTGTTTTGACAAGCCTGCCTCTGCCTATAAACATAAAAATAGTAAGGTCAATCAAAAGGATTAAGATGAAATGGTAAGTGAGTATGGACAGAAACTGAAAGAAGAAAGACAGACTAAGCTCTCCTGTCAGTCAATGATGAGAGCAGGAAGTGAATGCTCAGTCATTTGTCAGCTTCGATCTTCACATCACAAGAAGGCTAAACATCATTCAATCCAGTGCTGCTGGGCCTCAGAAACGTCACAGATATATCTGAGGGGATTAATGGTAGAAACTGGGTAGAAGGGTTTAAGTATAGACAGTCTTATTTTATTTTATTTTTGAGACAGAGTTTCACTCTGTCACCCAGGCTGGAGTGCAGTGGCGCAATCTCAGCTCACTGCAACCTCTGCCTCCTGGGTTCAAGTGATCCTCCTGCCTCAGCCTCCTGAGTAGCTGGGATTATAGGCAAGCACCATTACGCCAGTTAATTTTTGTATTTTTAGTAGAGGCAGGGTTTCATTATGTTGGCCAGGCTGGTCTCAAACTCCTGACCTCAAGCAGTCTGCCCACCTCGACCACCCAAAGTGCTGGGAGTATAGGTGTGAGCCACCGTGCCAGTCGAGAGCCTTATTTTAAATAAAAGAACAAAAGGTTATTCTTAACTGATGTTTCAGTAAAAGAGAATAATTTTTTTAACACTAGAGCCAGCCAAATATCATTTGTTAGCTTTAAAAAAAAAAGCCATTTGAAAAATTAATCTTACATTTATATAACAAATGGAAACTTAATAGATACTCACAAACTGTTTTGCTGTTGTTCTAATATCATTTTTTTCTACTGGTAAAACAACATAAACTCTAATTGACATTAAATCTTCCAGTTCTGCAAGTCTAATCTGAAACACGGCACTTAGTTGAAAAGCAGTGTTACAGATCGATTCCCAATTCTGCCCCATGTTTCCCTTCTCAGACCCCTATGACAAGTGGAGGGAAGATGCCGGGTCTGCCCCGCCACCACTAGTCCTCTGCAGATAGAACACAGCTCACCTGATACACCTAGCAGAGTCCGTGCATACTCTTTCCTGCCCAATACATTCCGTTTTACTCCTTTTCAAATGGTGACCTCACTATGGCTGCCTTTTCTAGACTTCCTATGACAAGTAGCTGGCATGTCCTCCCTCTAAACACATCCCCATGTTTCTTCCTCCAGAAACGATCAACAGAGAGAACAATACATTTGTGAAACTGAACCCCATGACCACACCTCCTCTTCCAAGTGGCAGCGTATGAGGTCTGATCATCTAGCATAGTTGCTTCTAGATCTAACTCTTCTTCAATTATTTACTGCTCTCTCTCAAATGTCTAGCCTTTGAGGCAGTGAGTGTGGGTCAAGAAAATTCTCTGCAAAGACACAGAAGATAGAGAAACAACAAGACAAAGACACCAAGTGACCCAAACAGGAACAGAAATGACGGACAATGAAAGCCTTTCTATAGTTCCTGGGCTCCCTGGGCACAGGAGGAAACCCTTCAGGTGTCCATAAACCTCTGTGTAGAGGAAATTTTTAATTTGGTTTAAGACATATTCTAATGTTGGGTGACGATATCCACTACTTCAACAGATGCCACTTGAGAACTATCACTGTGATATCTTTTTTTTTTTTTTTTTTTGAGACGGAGTCTTACTTTTGTCACCCAGGCTGGAGTGCAGTGGCGCAATCTCGGCTCACTGCAACCTTCTCATTCCGGGTTCAACCGATTCTCCTGCCTCAGCCTCCAGAGGTCTGCTCTTTTATTGTGTCCCTGTTTTTGTCAAAGTACCTAGAAGGCGTGGGGCTTCTTTGTCCAATTTCAGAGACTGGATACATCCATTCTAAAGTTAAATAAACCCCTCTTCTTAGAGTGAGGGCATTTATGACTTTGGTGACATCTGACAGAAATTTCTTTTTTTTTTTTTTGAGACGGAGTCTCGCTCTGTCGCCCAGGCCGGAGTGCAGTGGCCGGATCTCAGCTCACTGCAAGCTCC